TTCTCAGGAAATAAGCAAGATGTGCTGTGGAGGGGGGAGGTTATATGAGAAGAATAAATAGGAAATTTTTATTTGTGATTTTGGATTAAGAAGAAAGGCATTTTTCTTGAGCTCTACAAAATTCCACCTTCTCCTCTAGAAAACAAACCCTAAACTAACATTATGTTGCTATGGCCTAGCTCAGAGCTGGTTAGATGAATGGCTGATAGAATGATGTAAAACACATGAAAGACTGAAAAATAAGTAACCTTTTGGACCCACGAAGACTTGCGTAAGAACTAAACACTGAACATATTTTTAGCCATCTAAACTGGTTTTGTGAGAACACCGTCACAAACAAGTGCTGCCCCAAAGAAATGGCAGAAGTCTCTTGGAAAGCATAAAACATCTAAAAAGGCAGGAAAAATGGGAACTTGACAACGCATTTGTGTCTTGCTTACAGATGTACAAACTTCCATTCTGAAGAAGTTGCTTTTGGGAACAAATATTCTACTTGAAGAAAGGATGTACTGCTTTTGGAGCTTAATTCTGCAATATTTCCATGCAAGTTCTGTGTTTTTCCAGAATATAAAAGATTAAGGTATTTTACAATTTGGAAAAATGACATCAGTCCTTCTTAGAAGAAGCTGGCTTCTCTGTTCTTGTAGGGCTACAATCAATGCAATTGTTTACTAGACTGCAATAACAGAAGATAATTTAAAGGAATGCAAACTCAAGGAATAACACAAAGATAATGGGCTAGCACAGGTAAAATAAACAGCTGTTTGTCTTGAAGAATCTTTACCGCTGTTAACAAGTCACCAGAAACAAAAACAATTGGGAGTTTAATAGGATCAGCACTTGAACTGATTCTTGTTAAACTATTTACAATAACCTTGTACAGATAATAAAATTTCATTAATCAATTTTTTTTTCATATTCTTCCAAGAATTACATATAAGAGAATTTCTAATTTTGACATGTCAGTTTTAATCCTTTGCTTGTCTGGAAGGGATTTGTAATCCTGCATGGCAGAATTGGAGAAAAAAAGGACATTACTGAATTTTCAAAACACCCTTATTAACTAAAAAACTCTCATTGAAGATTGGTCATTTTAATTTCAATTTCAGATGATTCTGATGATAAACACCTCGATTTTTAGTAAGGAATTAGTTTTAAGTAATTTTAATTTACTTTCTAATAGAAAGAGAAGTACCTATCTGTGACTGCATAGAAAGAGTACAAATTAAGATCCTTTAAATCCCAGTTATTTCACATTCTGAACTGAATTGTATGTGATACTATTAGCACATTCTTTATTGACATATATTTATAGTTTTCTAAGAGAAAGACAGACTAAGAAATCCTGGGGAAATTTTCTAAATGTAAACCCTAAAACTTCAATAACAGAAGGCTACACTTTTTATTTGGAGAGCTCTTCAAGTAGACAATGATCCCCAAATGTTGTCTTAGCATCTAATTCCTTCTAGGAGCCAGATACTTATAAAGAACCCTGGTCTGGCATAACATTAATGACCGAAATTTGAAACCTCACATTGCTTGACTGGCTTGCTGAATGGAACTGAACTACTTGCTATATAACAAAACACTCAATAATCAAGAGCATTTTGTGATTGCTGCCCAGGGAAAACATCTGAAACTAGTATTTCTTTCAAAGAGTCAAGCAGTTTATGTTGATTCCATGTAAACTAATGACTTCAAAGATGGAAAAAATTCCCATCAAAAAGAATTACTCCAGTCAAGGAAGCTTTCATTTACCTCAAGACTGGGGGAAAATAGCAGAAGGAAATAAAAGGGGATTTTGTTTTGTTTTAGAAAGACACGAGTAGCTTCTGGGAAGATACGGAGGGAGAATGACAGTGACGATTCCTACAAGATAGATGTAGAGATAAAAATCTGTGATAATGAAGT